GCGGTGCTGGGGGCGGGTGCCGGTGCCCGGTGCCGGTGCCGGTGCCAGGTGCTGGTGCCGGTGCCGGTGCCCGGGGCGGGCGCTGACGGGCGCCGCGCGCGCAGCTGGTTCGTGACAATGCAGATCTGCGCTGCGAGCTTCCGAAGCTGGAGAAACGGCTTCGGGCTACGGCTGCGCGAGTGCAGGCCCTGGAGGGCGCCCTGAGGGAGGCCAAGGAGGGCGCGCTCAAGGACAAGCGCCGCTACCAGCAGGAGGTCGACCGCATCAAGGAGGCCGTGCGCGCCAAGGGCGCCAAGCGCGCCCACAGCGCACACATCGGTGCGCGGCACCGCGGCGGCGCGGGCACCGCGGCGGCGTGGGCACGGGACAGCGGCGGCATGGGGACAGTGCGGGCACCGGGACAGCGCGGGCACTGGGACAGTGTGGGCATGGGGACAGTGCGGGCACCGGGACAGCGCGGGCACTGGGACAGTGTGGGCACCGGGACAGCGTGGGCATGGGGACAGTGCGGGCACGGGGACAGTGCGGGCACCGGGACAGTGCGGGCACTGGGACAGTGTGGGCACTGGGACAGCGTGGGCATGGGGACAGTGCGGGCACGGGGACAGGGAGAGCACAGGGACAGCGTGGGCACCGGGACAGCGTAGGCATGGGGACAGCGTGGGCACGAGGACAGTGCGGGCATGGGGACAGTGCGGACACTGGGACAGCGCAGGCACCAGGACAGCGTGGGCACGGGCATGGGGAGAGCGGAGGTGCAGGGACAGCATGGGCATGGGGACAGTGAGAGCACAGGGACAGTGCGGGCATGGGGACAGCGCGGGCAGCGGGACAGAGTGGGCATGGGGACAGCGCAGGTACCGGGACAGCGCTGGCACCAGGACAGCGTGGGCACGGGGACAGCGTGGGCACGGGGACAGCGTGGGCACGGGGATGGGGACAGCGCGGGCACGGGGACAGCAGACAGGGCACACGGGACAGTGCGCGGGGACGGGGACAGCACGAGGGGCGCAGGGACAGCACGGGCACGGGGGGCAGCACGTGGGGACAGGGACAGCGCGTGGGGTGCAAGGAACAGCGCGTGGGGACAGCGTGGGTGCCAGGACAGCGCGCGGGGCGCAGGGGACAGCGCGTGGGGACAGGGACAGCAAGTGGCACAGGGGACAGCGCGCAGGGTGCAGGGGGACAGAAGGACAGCGCGCGGGGTGCCTGGGGACAGCGGGACGGGCTGCACGGGTGCATGGGGACCCCCTAGGGTGCACTGGGTGCGTGGGGACCCCCTGCCACACACTGGGTGCACGGGGACACAGCGGGTGTATGGGGACACGGCCCGGGGACACAGCGGGTGCCCGTGTCCCCGCAGCCAAACCCGTGCGGCCCGGCCAGGCGCCCGCCACGTCGCCCACGGGTGCCCGCGGCCCCGACGGCCTCAGCTTCAGCAACAGCCTCTTCCAGGGCTAC